GCCTCTTACAGCACGTTTGTCCCCGAGGAAGCCCCCTCTCCAGCCCTCGCTCCAGTGCCAAACAGCTCAGTTCTTCCCTGTATGTCTCTGGTGCCCCTGGAGCTGCCTCCCCTCCGAGCTTAGAGGGAGAGAGTCCGATAAGTCCGTGCGCGGGCCCTTTAGGGAGGTGCCTGGGGATCCAGCCGCCTCAACCTCCCTGAGCCTCAGTTTCCGCTGGTTTTTCCAGCCAGAAGTTATGGGGATTCTCTTCCTGGCACTGAAACCCTGAACGGGGCACCTGGTGTGGGACGGGGACCCCTCAGTCCTCAGGAAGGACCTTCCCAGCCGTGGGAGCCTCCTGATTTTTATCCGCCACACTTGGGTGTGGGACCAGCCCACGCCGCCGCCGCCACCCCTCGCACCGCAGTCCCTCCTACCAGTCTGGATGTAGCTGCTTTTTTTTTTTTTAATTCCGTAGTTGTAAGACTTCCATTCAGCTTGATTTCAGGCAGTTTTGAGTGATGGTTGCTCTGTAGTTTAGTTGTAACTTTGATGTGGTTGTGGGAGGACGCGATACCGCATTTACCTACGCCACCATCTTGACCGGAAGTCCGGTTTTCAATTTCTTGTGCTCTCTTTTCTCCTTCTGGCACTCCCATGATGCTAATGTTGGTACACTTGAATTTGTCCCAGAGGCTCCTTACACTATTCTCATTTTTTAAATCCTTTTTTCTGTTCTGATTGGGTGTTTTTTGCTTCCTTATATTCCAAATTGATGGTCTGATTCTTGGCTTCACCTACTCTACTATTGAATCTGTGTAAATTATTCTATATTTCAGTTAGTGCACTCTTCATTTCTGACTGGTTCTTTTTTATGTTCTTAAGGTCCTCTCTAAGTTCCTTGAGCATCCCTATAACCAGTGTTTTGAATTCTGCATCTGCTAGATTGCTTATCTCTGTTTTATTTAGTTCTTTTTCTGGAGTTTTGTTCTGTTCTTTCATTTGGGACATATTTCTTTGTCCCCTCATTTTGGCTGCTTTCCTGTGTTTATTTCTATGTATTAGGTAGAGTTGCTGTGTCTCCTAGGTTTCTCAGGGTTGCCTAGTAGGTGTCCTATAAGGTCCAGTGGCATAGCCTCCCTGATTACTACAGCTGGGCCCTCAGGGTGCACCCCTCATGTGGACTGTACTCCTTTCTGTTGAAATTGAATCTTGATTGCTGTTGCCACATTAATGGAAGGGATTGGCTCAAGCTGATCAACTTCAAGGAATGGCTGTGCCCAATGACCTCTGACTACCTTGCAAGATCAGCTGTGCAGGGGCCCACTTCACAGAGAAAGACTTACTTTAGCAAGGCTCTTGTACCCAATGAGTCCACTACTTGAGTGCATTGCTTGTGGAGGTGGTTGGTTGGTGGTGACTCAACATGGCCTGAAGTTGTCCACTGATTGTGCTGGCTCTGGGGTAAGGTCAACTACTGCTTGTGTTCTACGTGGGCCACCAGGCATAAACTACAAATCTATCTGCAGATGGCTGCTTCTTGTGCTGGGCTTGGAAGTGCCCAGGCAAAGCTAAGCTGTGAACCAAGGCTGGATGCTTCTAGTGCCAGGCCTGGGGCCGCTCAGCAAGATGTATGGAGCTTGCTAAGGCCAGATGTTATTTGTTTGAGAGAATTTAGGAAAATCTGAAGCAGGAGACAAAACAGGCCAATTCTATGGTAAAGCCACTGGAAACAGATTGGTGGGCCCAAAAGCTGGGTGGGGCAGGGCCTCAGGGAATCACCAGGGTAGAGCAAACAGTGTGAGCCAGGTTGCTGGAGTCCCAGATATGGCACCCATCTGCCAGCCCTGTGGGGGAAGGGTTCACCAAAGGAACAATGACTTCTGCCAGCACATCTGTCTGAGAGAAAACTGCCTCTCCAGCTCTCACGCTGATGCCAAACAACTCAGTTCCTCCTCGTGTGCCTCTGATGGCTTTCAAGCTGCCTCCCCTATGCTGAAGCCCAGAGGAAATAAGTCTGAGTAATTCTGTGTGCGGGCCCTTTAAGAGAAACTGCCTGGGATTCTAGCAACATCAGCCTCCCTCAGGCCTTCTCCGCCTCAGTTCCTGCTGGTTTTTACAACCAGAAGTTATGGGGACTTCTCTTCCTGGCACTGGAACCCTGAGCTGGGGGGCCTGGTGTGCAATGGGGACCCCTTGATCCTCAGGGAGGACTTTCACAGCTAGGTATTCCTCCTGATTTTTATCCACCACAGGTGGGTGTGGGATCAGCCCATCTGCACCTCTGCCCCTCCTACCAGTCTCAATGTGGCGTCTTGTTTAATTTCATAGTTGTAGGACTTGCATTCAGCTTGATTTAAGGTGGTTCTGAATGCTGGTTGTGTTGTAGTTTAGTTGTAATGTGGTTGTGGGAGGAGGTGGGTACTGCGTTTACCTAAACCACCATCTTGACCAGATATTCAGTACCATGTTGTTTTGTTTACTATGGCCTTGTAGTATAGTTTGATATCCTGTAGTATGACTCCTCTGACTTTGTTCTTTTTTCTCAATATCACTATTGCTATTTGGGGTTTGTGTGTGTGTGTGTGATTTCACATAAATTTCTGTAGTATTTGTTTAACTTCTGTGAAATACACTATTGGTATTTTCATGGAAGTTGTATTAAATGTATAAATTGCTTTGGGTAGCATGGGTATTTTAATGATGTTAATTCTTCTAATCCATAAACACAGTATATGCTTCCACTTATTTGAATCATCTTCCATTTCTGTTATCAGTGTCTTATATTTTTTGAGTACAGGTCTTTTACATCCTTGGTTATATGTATTCCTCGGTATTTAATTTTTTGAAGCAACTGTGAATGTGATTTTTTTCTTAGTTTTCCTTTCTGATAGTTTATTGTTGATGTATAAAAATGCAACTGATTTCTGGATATTTTGCATCCTGCTACTTTACAAAATTCACTTATCAGTTCTAGTAGGTTTTTAGTGGAATTTTTCTTGTTCTCTATATACACTATCATGTCATCTGCAAATAATGGCAGTTTTACTTCTTCATTTCCAATTTAGATGCCTTTTATTTCTTTCTCTTATCTGATTGCCATGGCTAGAACTTTCAGTACTATGTTGAATAAGAGTGGTAAAAAAAGACATCCCTGTTTTGGTCTTCCTGTACCCCAAGCAACTAGAATAGTGCCTGGCAAAGTTCAGCCTCAATAGATATTTGTTGACTAAAATAAGACATTTAATGATGACCTGTGACCCTATGTGCCTCTTTGCCCACCTTCTTTCTCCTCTTCTTCCAGACACTCTGCTTCAGGACATGCACAACTTCAGAGGGTGCCATTCCCAGGGCAACAATGGGAACTGTTAGGGAGGGAGTGGTGTTTCAAAAGTGCACAACCTATATAAATGTAGTGATGGCTCTGTTGTCATCTTTCCCTCCTCTTAATTCATTCATTCATTCATTCATTATTCATTCATTTATTCATTCAACTAAATCAAAAATATCTATTGCCCTGGCCAGTTTGGCTCAGCAGTTAGAGCATCGGCCCACAGACCAAAGGGTCTCAGGTTCAATTCCCAGTCAAAAGCACATATCTGAGTTGTAGGTTAAATCCCCAGCCCTAGTTGGGGCCGTGCAGCAGGCAGCAATTGATGTGTCTCTCTCATGTTGATGTTTCTCTCTCTGTCTCTCTCTCTCCCTCCTTCCCTGCCATTCTACTTAAAAGTCAATGGAACCCTGGCCAGTTTGGCTCAGCTGTAGAGCATCAGCCCACAGAGCAAAGAGTCATGGGTTCGATTCTGGTCAAGGGAACGTACCTCAGCTGCAATTCATCCCTGACCCTGCTCAGGGTCATGTGAGAGGCAACCAGTTGATGTGTCCCTCTCACATCAACATTTATTTCTCTCTCTCCCTCTCACTCTATCTAAAGATAAATAGAAAAATATCCTCGGGTGAGGATTAAAAAAATAAAAATCAATGGAAAAATATCCTCAGGTGAGGATTAACAACAAATACACACACACACACACACACACACACACGTGCACACTGAGTACCCATAATATGCCAAGTTAGTGGTGCACAGTGGGGGATAAAAACACTTCTGTGCCTGTATGATAAATGTGAAAGTTGCAAGCAAAATGAAAATAGAATGTGTTAAAATGTCAAAAATAAACATACTATTGCAAGTTACACATTCATTTCTCATTTTCCTCTGTGGTTGTTCTCAGTCTTTCTTTTCACCCTTTGCAGCCTCTGCAGTCACTGACAGATGCCCCTTGTCCTTTCTTGTCTCCCTCTTACCCAGTGGGCTAGAGCTGATTTGTAGGCACCTGCAGACCTGATTGTTAAACATTTAGGAATTTGGCAAGCTGGTCATTAAACTGTCAGTGGCTTCAAAATCAGACACGACAGGAATATTTGCACCACGGTAATAGGCCAACATTACAAGGCATGGTTTGTTTATGCTGTTTTTCTGAAAAGCTGGTTTTCTAGCATATAACTGCTCCCATCTGTTTCTAGCAGAGAAACTTTACTTCATCAAGGAATATTCTAGTTCTTCCATAGCTATTCAGCCTCCCCCTGCTATACCTCAGCTCCCTCATGGGTGGCAGGAAATGGAGACTCTAAGCTATGTTGTACTGGGATGGGGAGAGAACAGAAGAGAGGAGGAGAAGAAAAAAGGTATAAAAAGGAAAGCAACAATGGAAGGAAAGAGATAGAAAAGAGAAGTAGGTATCTGTTGGGGGGGGGGCAGAGGGCAGGGTAGAAACACCATAGGGACCAGCCAAGACCTACCACACAATGTCCTCACAGGCAGTTGGGCCACTTCCCCACCTGGGGTCTGAAGATGGTCAGGTTGCCATGAGAAATGAGGAAACTACCTTCCCAAACTACCCTGAAGCAGGGTGGGGGTGGGGATCCATACAGCTGGACTCAGGAGGAAAGAGGGCTGGGGATCTGGACCAGTGGGGGCTGGGGGTCAGGATTCCTCAGTTTTTAACTGTTGGGCATCATTGGGGTCCTAGACTCCTGGATCTGAGGGAAGAGAAAGGGCTCAGGCTTCTGGGCCTTTAAGGTGGTGAGACTCAGAGGGTGGGTCCAGGCCTTATTTAGCAAGGCCCTCCATTCCCCACCCTTTCCTGGCTGCCTTAGGTGAGGGGAGATATAAAAGGGCTCAGTTTCCTGGAAGAAGAGCAGGAGCAAGAGAGTTCTGGCTGCCCTGACCATGAGCCCTGCCCTGCTGCCAGCCCTCCTGGGCCTCACCCTCCTACTGCCCAGTGAGTGAAAACCCCAGCTTGGGAGGGGATTTCCTGGGAGGATGGGCTAAGACGAATTTGCTTTTTCCATCTCAGGAGTGCAGGCCCTAACCTGTCAGTCAATAGCAGTGGATACTGTAATTAAAATATCAGAACTGCCCTTTCGATGGACAGCTGAGAAGGAGAAGCCTTGTGCAGATGGCTGGGGTTGCCAAGATGTGCTGATGCTCACTGAGAATGGTAAGAAAGGCCCCAGAGGCCCCAAGCCTGACTCCCACCATCACCTGTGCAGAGATGTCTCTCCTCCTGATCAGTCCTGCCTGCCTCTGTGTAAGTCTCAAAAGACTCCTTCCCCTCATACCAGTAGCTGTTTCCTCCCCAGCAGGAGCAAGCCCTCAGGTGCCCAATTGCTTCCTCTCAAGCCTCTCGAGCTTCTTTACCACCACAGCCACACACAGACCCTCCCTCTAGGACCCTGGAGTAATGATCCTCACCTGGCCTGCCTCCTTCTGTCATCTAGGACCCGAAGTGTACATAGTGGTCATCAAGGGCTGTACAAAGGAGAAAGATCATGAGGCCCGTGTCATCAAGCATAGGCAAGGCCCTGGCCTCTCAGTGACCTCCTACACCCGTGTGTGTCGCCAGAAGGACCTCTGCAATAACCTCTCCAGCACCTTCCCTGTCTGGACCCTGCCTCCTACTGCAGGTGCGGACAAGGAGGGAGAGGAGGAAAAGGAGAAGATGGGCTGTGGGGAGGAGGGGAGGTCAGAGGAACTGTTCCTTTAGAACCCCTCCCTCCCTCCCTCCCTCCCTCCCTCCCTCCCTCCCTCCCAGCCTGTCCACACTCTCCAGGATTCCCTCCCCTGGCACATCTTCTTCTAACAGTCCTGGGGCAGCAAAATGGACAGCTCCTCTGACTTCAACCCCACCTCAGACTCTGGCGATGGCCCCAACCTGGGCCATTCTCCTTTTTCTGTACTGTTGGGCTTGGTTCACTCATGTTTCATTTAGGGTTTTCGTGTTTCCTCTTCCAAAGTGCAATTGGCCAATTTTCCACGGTCCTTGTCTGTATCATAAACCGGGTTTGGGGGATGCTTTGCATATCTCTGCTCTTTGGGGTATCTTGTCTGCTTGGATTGTGTAGTGGAAGTTGTGGGTAAAATCTGCCCTGGTTTCTCCCAGGGCACCCCTTCTGTCTAGTCTCTGGTGCCCCTCCCAGATCTCATGCCCCCACTTGCTCTCTCCTTAATTACATGACCCCCAATTTGCTGCACCCAGGCCTACATGAGAGAAACCCAAGGAGGGCAAGTTGGGGAGGCTGGGGAGGTTGATTCCAGGGGCCACAAAAGCGGAGTAGATAGAGGCACCAGATCCGAATGCAGAGCGCACTCAGTTCTCCCTTCCTCTCTCTCACCTCCCAGTACCAGGATTCACGCGGTGCCCATTCTGCTTGTCTACGAAAGGCTGTGAATCTGTGACAAACGTGACCTGCCCCATTGGGCATACGCACTGCTACAACGGGGTCCTGCAGCTCCGGGGAGGTGAGCTGGGACATCGGGGTCCCTGCTGGCACTGAGGGTAGCTGGGACCTGGGGCTCAGAGGAGGTTGGGCATGGCTCCTCAGGGCTGGATGCTTCCAACGGTGGCATCTCATGCTCCCCCACTCTGCTTGGCCCCTTTCCACAGAAAGCATCCACACCAATCTGGCCGTTCGGGGATGCATGTCCCAAGCAGCCTGCAACCTGCTTAATGAAACTCGGAAAATCGGGTCCTTGTCTGTGAGTGAAAACTGTGATCCTAATGGTGAGTCCCATGCCCAGAAGGCGAGGTTGGGCCCTTTCCCACAACTTTGGGGTTACAGTGACCCTTGTGAAAGTCGGACATGCAAACACTTCCCACTAGCACTTGCAAATAATTTAGAAGTTTATTATTCAGGCATGAGCAAAGTAAAGGATTGTCCTGGTAGGAGCTTTGGGGTGAGCATGCCAGTAAGAGGTATCCAGTTGAATGGGAGGGAGAGGGCACTTGGTCCAGGGGACAGATATAGGACAGGAACCCACTAGTGGCTTTTTAAATGACACTGGGGTTGGCCAAATAATTGAGGACAGCTTATCTAGGTGGGAGGGAGTGGGGAGCAGGGAAGAAGGACAGAGGGGCGCACAGGGCTGGCTGCTCTGCATTCTACTTTATCCATTGTGTGCAGAACTGAGTATACAGTGTATGCTTCTCATGCTGGGAGTGACTCATTGCCTTCATTGTATTTCTCCACACTCCTGACCTTGGGTAGCCCTAGGTCTCTTCCCTCCCCTCTACCACCCCACTCTGCCCTCCTCCATCTCCCACCATGGTACTGGAGCACCCTAGCAGCCATGCTGCATAGGAAATAAGGTCAGAGAGAAAACCGAGGGTGCTTCAGGTGTGACAGGGACAGAAGACCCAAGCAGGGACACCGGAAGGGTTCCCACTCACCCATGCAAACCCAGCCCAACCAGCACACTGGGCAGATTGAGAATGACCTGGAGGATCTCAATAAGAAGCACCAAAGGCAGGGCGGAGAGTGGCAAGAGAGCCTTCCCTGTCTGAGACTCAGTTTTCTCATCTGCCCATGGCACCCAGTCCTTAAAGCTGCAAGGAGAAAGTTGAGTGAATTCAGCAAACATTCCTCTCTGTGCTTGGATCTCAAGGCCAGGCTGAGAGCCTTGAGGACAGGACCTGGAAGTCACTGACACCGAGGTTTCTAGCCTGAGGCAACACAAGGGCTAGGTCAAGATGGGAGGTGAGTTTGTGCAGGATTCCAGGGTCTCCGGTGGAGACTCCAGAAGACTCAGACCCCATGCCTGACCTACAGGGCCTCCAAGAGGAGGAGGGGAGACATCAAAGATGCATATGGTCACATGGCTGTGGTGAAGGGGGTCTGGGAGAGCTCCGAGGAGGAAGGTTCTAATGTCCTGGCGTGAGCGTAGTCAAGGAGGACTTCACGAGGAGGTGACTTGTGAGCTATGTCTTAAAGATTAGTTGCAGTTTATTAGTAGAAGAGGAAAAGGTAGAAGAAACAGCATGTGCAAAGGCCTGGTGGTGGGAATAAGCCCATTTTTTTCAAGAAGGGCTCCTTGTCTCTGCCTGAGAAGGTCACATCAAGAGGATGGGGTGCAGCTAGGACTGGGGGGAGAATGCCAGTTTTTCAGGTAGACAAAGTGGATGTGGGCGACCTCAGGAGAGCTATTACGAGCAGAAGGAACAGTGGTGCAAGCCCCAGGAGGCAGGAAATGACCTGGCATGTCTTGAAAATAAATATTGGTAGGAGAGAGAAGAGGAAAATTGGGGAACCTGATGGTGGGTCAAGTAGCTGCAACACCAGACTGAGGGGTTAGCCTTTCTCCTGAGGGCACAGGAGCCATAGAAGGGAGGGACAGTCTGAGTCTCTCCTTTTGATTAATTCTGTTTAATTGTCTGGCTCTTATCTCTGGGACTAGGTGACATTCATAATCCAGAAGGTATTCCTGAAACAAATCAAATGTAACCCATGCCACCCACTATAACACACAGACACACAGCATACAATGCATACAACAGACACAACCGCACTTACCATGCCACATGCACACTGCACACCACATGTCTCCTTACACCTGACACACACCACAAACCTCATACACCATGCACCATACAACACACAGGCCACACAACACAGCACATACCACGTACACCATACACACATACCACACATCACATACCACACACACTACACACCATACATACCATATATATATCACCCACCCACATACATACACTTCCCCACATACCATACACATACTCTACACAAACCATACAAATGTCACGCAAAACACAGCTACTGTACCACAAGTGAATTTTCCCAGTATATAAACTTATTCTGTTAGCTTTCAATAGTGGAGTCAGAACTTGGGGGATGCGTTTGCCTCCCCTGATTCAGTTCTGGTCAGCAGTTTAACAAATATTTACTGAGCAATGGCAAGGTCAGGCATCAACAGGATGTCATTGAGAGAGAAGGCTATTGCAGGGTGACAGACATCTGCAAAAAACTGCGGCTGAAAGACGGCTGGGTGCAAGAGCAGATTGCCCAAATAGGCCATGGCAAGAGCCCATTGATGTAGAACCAAAGGGCTGGAATGCGAATGGCCTTGACTGCCCCTACCAAGGGACTGGTCAGTGGTCCCAGTGAGAGCAGTAGGTCGGCACAGTCAGGGAGAGCACAGCAGTTAAGAGTCTAATGTCTGAACCCAATTGATGTGGGTCCTGGCTGGGTTCTGCCACTGAACCGACTTTGGAGGATCACCACTTCTTTGAGCCTCTTTCACCAAATTCAAGGAGAAGAGAATGATTTGAGGCATTCCAGAGGAGGGGAGCATATGCAAAAGTCCTGGGGTGGGTGGGTGCCTGCTGCATGTTCAAGGAAGAACCCAGAGGCCAGTGTGGCTCCAAGCAGTGTGTTCAAAAGAGAGCAGAGTAGGAGATGTGGATGGAGAGGTAGCACCTTTGAGAACATTTTAAGAACTTAACATTTTATTCTGAGTTGCGTGGGGACCTATTAAATCTTCTGAGTAGAGGGCCCTGGCCGGTTTGGCTCAGCAATTGGAGCATCTGGCCTGCGGACCAGAGAGTCCCAGGTTTGGTTCCCGCTAGGGGCACGTACCAAAAATAAAAAATAAAATAAATAAATAAATCTTCTGAGTAGAGGGATGACATGAATCAACTTACCTTTCTTTTTTTTTTTAACCTCACCCAAGGACATTTCTGCATTTATCTTCAGATAGAGCAGGAGGGAGAGAGAGAGAGAAACATAGAGTGGTTGCCACCCACACAACCCCAACCGGGGCAGGGACAAACTGCAACCGAGGTACATACCCTTAGTGGGAACTGAACCCGGGCCTCTCTGGTCTGTGGGCTGATGCTCTAATCACTGAGCCAAACCGGCCAGGGCTCAACTTACCTCTCATGAGGATCCTTCTGGCTACTAGGTAAAGACTAGAGTAAGGGTGAGGTGGAAGTGGGGGAGGTGACCTCCCGGGAGACTCAGGAGGAAGCAGGTGAGAACCAACAGGATCTTGGACCCTAGTGGAAACAGCAGAGGTAATGAGAAGTGGTCAGGTTCTGGGGGTATTTTGCAGCTTAAGCCAACAGGATATCCTGATGGGTGCAACATGGGGTGTAAGAGAATTGTTAAGAATGACAGCAATGTTCTCAACTTACTCAGTTGCAAGACAGGATTGACCAAGATGTAAAAGGTGGGGACAGGGAGAGCAGGGGCCAGGCTAGGAGAAAGGCAGCATGAGCCATGATGTTGTGGTCTCTGAAGTGGGGAAAATGAGTGATCCTCCTTCGTGGGGTTGTTTTGAAGGTTACCTATGTTGGTAGATGCTGCGTCGTCATCCCTGGAGTTTCTGCATCATGGGACACACCCCTGCTGGTGATGTGATGGCCTTAAGTGAAGGTCTAGGCTCCTGATTTTCAGACTGGACTCCTGAGGGACTCAGAGGCCAGGGTAGCTGAGGATGGTCATCAATTACCATCTTTCCCATCACTCAACGCAAGGTGCCCAGCTCTGCTAATTGGTAGCAGTGGGACACTGGGAAAGCTACTTCACAATTCTTCTGCCTCTGTTTTCCATCTTGAAAATGAGGAGGAGGAGGAGGATAACACCACCTACTTTGGGGCTCATTATGAAAAAATGAGGTAATCCAGATGCGGGAGCTCCCTTGAGACATTTAAATGGGCTAATCTATGGAAAGAAATCACAACGGCCAGGTACATAGTAAATGTTCAGTACACACTAGAAATTGGTTTCTCAGTTATGAGAATATAAGGTGTCAGTCTACACTTTTTGTCCAAATGAGGACCTTGAGGCCCAGCGAGGGAAGTAGAGGTTGGCTCAGGTTAAGGAGGAGTCATCTGTCTCTCTCACACCCCAAAGGAAGAGAAGCCTTCAAGGGATGTTGAGAAAGGTCCCTGTAGATGTTCGAGAAGGGATGGTGTAAAGAATGAGGGTGGGGCTCAGACTTCAAAGGTCTCTACCAAACCTGAGATCAAGGGACTGTGTCCAGGTTACCTGGAGTGTGACTCAAGAACATGATCACCTTCCCAAGCAAGGGACCTGGAGCGACAGACATGACTTATCCCCCGGCTTATACAGACCCTGGTAATTTCTTCTCCCCAGCTTTTCTGACCTGTCGACGGGGGACCATGATTAAGATGCAACCAAACCTGTCTCAGAACCAGGTGCAATGGAATGCACTTTCAACTGTGGTGTGTGATTTAAAGGAGGTGTGTCAGGAGACACTTCTGCTCGTAGATGTAGGTACGTGGGCTGTGCCACAGGACAGGACTGCTACACATTATCCTGGGTCCCCTGCCCTGGATTCTGTCCCCTGAACTTTCTGCCTGATTCTCCCCATGCCTGGAGTACTGTACCTCACTCTTTCTGCATCTTGGGTTCCTCTTGTGAAAAATGGGGGCTAGGTGCTGGCAGTACCAGTACCTACTGAGGATATGTTCGATGGTCAGTGCAAAGGTCTGATAACTGCGTTGGTATACGTTAACATCAGTGACTTTGTCTGAGCCTCACAGAGCACCTGTTGTGTGCCAGGCACTGTAGATCCCATTGGGTCTGTCTTCCTGCAGCCTTACACGCCAGTGAGGACACAGAAAATCCAGCAGAGAAAGGAGATAGGGAGAGTGAGGTGAAGGTTACAACTTGAAAAACAGGATTTCAGGGGAGGCTCTACTGAGAAGATAATGTTTGGGCAAGAAGTGAGAGGCGATAGAGCTGGGGGGAGGACCCGGGCTCAGGCTCCAGTCTTTGCCCCACCTGCAATGACCTCTGATCTTGTACTCAAGGAACCTACTTTCAACCCTCTGACTGCTAAGCATCCAGGAATTGCTGGCTCCTATCTCCCTCAGAACCTCCCCTTCCCCAGTCCAGCTGTCACTCTCTCCCGCCGCAGGACCTAGATCACTCATACTGGGGAGCAAAGGCTGCAGCAAGACTAAGACACAGAGTTCCAAGACTGTCTCCATCCACTCGGGACCCCCTGGAGTGATCATCTCCTCCTATGCCCATTTCTGCTCCTCCAACATGTGCAACAACGCCAGCAGCAGCAGAGTCCTAGTGGACTCCCTCCCTCGTTCAGGTATGGGAGCCCAGAGGGATGGGGTAGACCAGAGACATGGAGAGATGGAGCCCCAGAGACACAGAGACTCTGGGCTCAAGGAGGGTGGCTACGCTGGGAGCAGAGCTGTGCACCCCAACCTTCTTTTTGCTCCCCAGCTCCCCCTCCCCCAGGATACCTGCATTGTCCTGTCTGTGTGCAAATAGGTGGATTCTGTACAAGCTCTATTAATTTCACATGCCCTAATGGTACCACTCATTGTTATGACGGCCTAATCAGTCTCAATGGAGGTGAGTGCTAAAGGCCAGGTCTCAAGGATGAAAGGATTGGCGGCCTGGATTCACTGGTGCTGCAGTGGGAGGGTGCTTGAGGCCCTGGCTCATGGGTTTGAGGGTGGAGTGGGCTGGGGACTCAGATTTCTAGATCTGAGCATGGAGAGGCCTAAGAGCCTGAACTCCTGGTCTGAGGGGAGGGGATTGTAAGGTTTGGGATTTGTGGATCATAGGAATCTAAGTGGGTACTACTTTGAGACCCCTCTGAGTCAGTATTCACTCTCTAGGTGGGCTGTCCTCTGCATTTGGTATTCAGGGCTGCATAGCCCAACCTACCAACTCCTTGTTGAGCCGCACCAAAAATATTGGGGAGTTCTTCGTAGATGAGTACTCTGAGGATGAGAAAGAAGACCTCCTAAGCAGGGCTGCTCCCACCCACTACCTGGCTGGAGTGATGGGCCTGGGGCTATCCCTAGCCCTTTGGTTTGGGATGACCTCCCTGCTGATTCCATTTCCTTGTGATTTTTCTCCCCTGCTGACCCCCTAAATCCAACCCTTCCTCTGACCTCATAACCAAACACTGAGTTGTTTTCTCCTCTTCTCCATGAATTCTCATCCACATGCACACCCACACACTTGGTGACCTGATAACATCTGGAAGGGCCTGGGAGCAGCTGCACTGGTACTGTGGCCACATATATCTGATAAATAAAGACATCACTTTTTTTTTCCCTAGTGCTGGGGTTTCTTTGTGGGAGGGGAGGGCAGGACACCCAGCGATCTGGTGTGAGGGAGGAGAGGAATCTGGTGAGAGCTTCACCTCTCAGGCCTGTCCTTCACTGGTCTGGGTGGCAGTGGATCCTTCGGGGTGCTGCAGTCTCAGGTATTTGAGCATCACTGTGACCTGGGAGGTGAAGGTGCACTTCAGCCAATGAGGCTTCACTTAGGAGTCAGTTTCGCTGCACAAACAAGGGCTTCATCATGCTTGACTCACTTGACATATGGGTTTGTGTGAAGGTGAGCAGCAAGACGGTGTGCACAGTTTCCTGAAGCTGATGTCACAGTGTCTGTTATCATCCTGGACCTGAAAGACAGAAGAGAAGTCATCACCGTTACTAGAATCACCAGAGAGGCAGGTGGCAGGCTTAGGGGGCTGCCTGATAGGAGCTCTGATGTCAGGCTGAGTAATCATCCAGCCCACAGCAACACTACAGGGAGGGAGCTGGGGAACTGGTGGCCCAGCGTCACTCAGTGTCCACCCTCTGGGCTCCTGTCTGGGCTCCCCACTGACTATACCCAGCTGGAAAGCAGGAGATCCCACTGACATGGTCTCTATAGATCTGCCCCCGACAGCACAGAGCTGTCGGGGAAAAAGGGGACAGAGTGAATCTGTAAAAGGAAACAGTGTCCTGGATCACATGATAGGAGAAAGTGAGAGGACCAAGCCAGGTGGCCAGAAAGTGAATGTGTACTCTTGTCCCTGAAATGTGAACATAAATGATGATCTCTGCCCATAAATACAGAAAAATGAATCGTACAATCTGTGGTGCATATCCAGGGTCTGCAAGAAACCGCACCCCAAACTGCCACTGCCATTGTCATTGCCACTTTGTGTTTGCTGTAACCTGTCATCATTCTCCAGACTCTCAGCTGTGATCAAACAGGCGCGACAAATGGTGTGGTAGCAATCTAGACTCCCATCTCTCAAGCGTTGGTGTTGGCACTAATTTCAGAAATTCCCCCAGAGGTCCATTATTGCTTCCAATTTACTATCTTGGTGGGGTGGTATCAGAAGCATCATTTGGCTTTCCTACCATAATAACCCTCACTCCATGGGTCATGTGACCTGTGTGGGGTCCAGTTACCCGTACCTATTATACCTTCTGGGATGACATAAACAGCAAGACGAGCCTGTCATCCCACTGGGCCCACTGGGAAAAGGACTTGACCAAAAGTCCATCTATATCCTGACCTGGTTCACATCAGGATCAGCACCCATCCAGAGACACCATCCAAATAATCCTCCATAAGGTCTAAACATGTATTTCCCTTAACCAGTACCCAACATCCCCAGATCAGTGGTTCATGATCTCTCTGGTGTGGGGCAAGATTCACGGTGGACACCCATGGTTACACCTCAGGGTTCTTATCAAATGGACCCAGCCTCCCTCCTCTTTCTTGGGGTACCGAGTCTATGAGCTGGCTTAGTCTGAGATAAAAAGTCATAAACCCCTGTCATGGTGACCCAAGTCCTATTTTTTCCCATCAAAGCCAGAAAATTTCCACCTGTATCAAGCAACACTTTAGTAGGTTTCCCACTGACCTCACTTTTAGGGACTGTCTGTCTAGTCATTTAGCTTCACCACAGATCCCTGCCTATCATAACTCTGATGACCTGTTGGCTCAGTGGCTTGTTTTGGTGATTGGGCCACTTTGTTGCTCAAGCCCAGTGTCACCACTTGGCCACTCCCGGACCGACTTGTTCCAGAAGTTCCCATCAGCATCTTCAACCTCAGAGATGAGCCACCATACAGCTCTTGATATCTCCTCCTCTTTGTTGTTTGTTTGTGTGTTTTTTTTTGTTTTGTTTTGTTTTTGGACATGTCAAATGTTTAAAATGAGAAAAAGTAATTTCAAGTTAGAACGATCATTGTGTTGTGGGGATCTTTGGGAAGGGCAGAATTTCTAAGGAGAAAGAGGTGTGGGCTAATGAGTTTAACAAACAATAAGCCTGGCCCACTGGTGTAGCTCAGTTGGTTGAGCATCTTCCCATGCACCAAGAGGTCACTTGTTAGATACCCCAGTCAGGGTACATGCCCAGGTTGCTTACTTGATCCCCAGTAGGGGGAATGTAGAAGGTAGTCAATCGATGTTTCTATCGCTCCTTCTCCCTTCCTCTCTCTAAAAAATAAACACATTTTTTTTTTTGAAAATAAAAACATATTTTTTACAAATAAAAACATTTTTTAAAAATATATTTTTAAAATAAAATAAACAATATGCCTGTGTTATTTTAACCATATCAGCAAACTGATTTCCAGGAAGCCCCCGGGCTTGCAGGGGACAAAGAGATCCTGACCTACACCAAATTGACTGGATATAATTTTCAGATTGCAGTGATCCTAGCTTCATCAACCCTTGGCATTCTTTCACAAATTCTGGTCAGCAAGCATGTTCCACATAGAAGGCAATGGGGAACATGTTTTGAAAGGCATCCTCCCATTTCCCCACTTCCTTTGGTGACTTTGTGTATCACAGAAGCAGCTAGGATCCAGGGTTGAACCTCTGAAGTTTACTTGGCTCCCTTTGTTGTTACTGACTGTCCAGGTCTAGTCAGCCCCCGAACTCTTGCTAGCTAAAAAAATCTCTCTCCGCTCAATCAGTGTGCGTAAACATATACCCAAGACACTTAGGAACTTCTGAGAACAACTTTGGAGGCAGTGGCACTTCAGTTTTCTGTTAGACAAAAGGCTCCATACATTTGATTGCATTAGGGACAATGTCCTCTTATCATGATTCTACAGTTAGTATAAGCTCTACAGTCTCAGGAAAGGCACCACTTTAGAAAAAGAATTACATGCAATCATTAGGGGACTGAGTGAGAGATACATTTCTTTTATATAGATGTGTCCCCCTTTTTATTGAATTTATTGTGGTGACACTGGTTAACAAAATTATACAAGTTTCAGGTGTACAATTCAACAACATATCATCTGTACACTGTATTATGTGTTCACCACCCCAAGTCAAGTCTCCTTCTATTACCATTTATCCCCCATATAACCTCCTCCCCCCTCTCCCCTGGTGATCACCACACTGTTGTCAGTGTCTATGAGTTTTTTCCCTTTAACTCAGTTCTTCCATATCCCCATCCAGTCCCCAGTTGCCATCCCTAAAGTTGTCAGCCTGCTCTCTATCTGTGAGTTTGTCTCTGTTTGGCTTGTTAGTTCATTTTTCTCATTAGATTCCACATATGTATGAAACCATATGGTATTTGTCTTTCTTTGACTGGCTTATTTGTGTGTCTTATTTTTCTTTTTATTTATTTTAATCCTCACCCAAGGATATTCTTCTATTTATCTTCCGATAGAGCAGGAGGGAAGAAGCGAGGAAGAGAGAAAGAGAGAGAGATATCGATGCAAGAGAGACACATTGACTGGTTGCCACCTACATGACCCCAAGTGGGGGCCAGGGATAAACTGCAACTGAGGTGCGTGCCCTTGGCCAGCATCAAACCTGCAACTCTTTGGTCCGCAGGCTGACGCTCCAACCACTGAGCCAAACTGGCCAGGGCATATGTCTTATTTTTAAAATAAAGGAAGGATATTATCAGAAGACTCCACATCTGTCCCCTCCAGCAGTCACTGCAAAAGTGGGGTAGACTTCATCTATTATATATGCTGATAAGTCTTGTCCAAGGATCATTGCTTGCTAGAGCTCGGCTGTGGACACAAGTGCAGTTGCATTAGGGGCAGCATATCCTGGGACATAGTAGCAGAAGCAGCAGTAGCTGCTGCAGTCAGAGTGTCAGCTCCATCAGTGGCAATGTCCAGGGACTGCAGGGTGTACTTGACTGCATATAGCTATGCTTTATCCATATAGGCACTTAGCTTTGGAGGTGTGAAAGAGTGGATTGCAGGATTCTGGCAGGAATGGTTATTTTGTATAAGAATAGTTCTCCTGGCTTTTGCTGAGTGGCCTCTGACCCAGCACTGGCACCAGTTCGAATTTCTATCAACCTGGTCAACAATATTCACCCCTATCTGATGACTTACTGAGAATCTGCCTCATGCGGCTTTTATACCATCAGAGGTTGTTTCAGTGGCTGAGCCTAACAGGCAGCCGACAGGTGGAGACAAATATCAGGGTGCCTTGGGCTTCTTGCTGACCTGCACCAGGCTTTGTACTGGTGGAAGCCAGCTCAGTACACAAGTGTTCCCTCCCATGCACACCCAGGCACAGCAGAGGCAGTCACCAACCATGCATTGCTTTATAGCTTCTAAGAGGTAACCCAGGGCCAGTCATAAGCAGCATCTGATATTGACCTGCAACATAGTTCCTCCCAAGAAGCTCCAGAAAAAACACACCCAGTAGTTGGCTTCAGACCACATCAGACATGGCAGGATTAATTCCACAAGTGGTACACCCTAAGGGAGATCTCAGCAGGCACCAGATCCTGCTGGGGCAAATTCGGCTTCATGAGGTTAGTCCCTACACAGAAGCATGTACACTACAGTCAAGTCAATCCACACAGTCAACCAGCCTGGGAGTTGACACTACTTATGGAGGTGCTAACAGCAATTAAGACTCAACTACAACAGCAAGGACTCATATAACACACACAAGGGACTTCACTGGAGCACCTTGCTCAGGTGTAAGGGAGACTGTGCTACTGAGTCCCACAGGACAACTACTACATAAGGACATTATACCAAGACTGGGAAACATAGTAGATCTGCCTAATACACAGAGAAAAATACAAAGAGGAAGCCAAAATGGGAAGACAAAGACACATGCCCCAGATGAAAGAGCAAGAGAAATCCCCAGGAAAATAACTAAATGAAATGGAAGCAAGCAATCTACCAAATACAGAGTTTGAAGCTGTAAGTATAAGGATGCTCAGGGAACTTAGGAAAGAATGGATAAACTTAGTGAGAACTTAAAAAGATAAGAAGCATAAAAGATGATATAAAAATCATTTTTTTTTTAA